CTCATCTATATGCAAATAAAAATATAAATATTGCTAGAATTACAGAAAAATTATGTTGACAATAAAACACACGTGAAAAAATTGCAATTATAATATATCATAAAAAGGGTCACGGTAAAAGAAGTACAGCTGCAAAAATTTAAAATAGAATCCTAATAACTTCATAATTAGTTAAGTAAAAACTAACAACTTTTGAGAATACAACCAGATGTAAAAAAGTTAAATATAAATCTATTCTTAAAATATTCTGCTTTAAAAGTTACTTTATTTAAATAAATTAAAAAAAGAAAAAATAATTTGCAAGTTGTTTCATAAATTATGATATAATTAAAGGCTAAATTATTTACATAATAATGTAATTGACAAATCATGTATTTTAATATTCAAATCTTACTTTTAATAATAAATAAATTTATAAATTAAAGTAATTTAAGTAATAGGTGTTATACTATAATCACATAATTTTTACAAAATAATTAATTGAAAAACAATAAGAATTTTAGTATTTATCATGTATTAATATATTTAATATGATTATCTATTAGCTTATATTAGAAATATAAATAAAACTCTAATAATATTTAATTTGTAAAATAATACTACTATTGATGAATCAAAAGTTCATTCTATTAGCATTTTATAATAAGACATAAGAAAACTAATTTTACAATAATTTTAGCTTATATAGTTGATGAAACTAAACTTTTTTTTCTTATAATTTTTAAATATTTCAAGTTGTAATTTTCTACCTGAAGTCATTATAAAAGCTAACCTATTAGAATAAATAAATAAAAGTGAAATGCTATATTAGATTAAAAATGTTTAGATTAAATATGTAAAACTTTCTAATCTATAGTCTTTACTTATGTTAAATTCTTTTTCAACATATATTATTAATTCTGTAAAAAATCATTTTAATAAAAAAAATACTAATATTACTATTATTCTTAGAGATTAATATCACATTTACAATCTTTAGATATGTTAATAAATAAATCATTTAAATCAAAGATAAGATTTATTTTATTTTAAATTAATTTATTAAAGTTTAAAATTTTAATTCTAAATTAATTTAATAATTAAATTTTATAAATGTAAAAAAATTATAATTATTAAATCAGTAAAAAGTTAATACTTGCTGGTAAAATTAAAAGACTATTATATGAAATAGTTATAGATTAAATTGATAAATTATAGAATACTATTAACAATGATTTAATTTAAAGATCTTTTAAAATTTATCTTTAATTTTTATTTAAAATATGATTTAAATACTATTTTTTATTATAAAATAAAAATGATTTTATTAAAATGACAAAAAAATAATAGAAATAAGATATATGTTTAAGAAAAGAAATAAAAAAACTAGTATTTTACTATAATAAATGAAATTTTAAAAAATTTGTTATTTATTTATAAGAAAAATATAAGGTTTAATATTTTTTAAAATAAAATTTATGTGATTCTTATTTATTTTTACAAACTTTTTAACTATTTTATTTAATACTAAGTTTTTAGTTAAATTCTTAATCTTTTTGTTCAGTATTTAAAAAAAAAATAATTCAGAGATATTATTAATATTGAAAAATTAGTTTATAAAGTTATTAATGTTAAAAGATTTAGTAAATTTCTTATAATAGAAAAGAAAATAATATTTAAAATTTCTCTATTAGGTTTAATAATTAGACATGATGAATAAGTAGAATTACCTAAGAATAAAATATTCTGAAAATAATTATAAAAAAAGATAGTTTTTTTCAAAGAATCAGATATTATAAATAAAAAATATTTTTTTTAAAAAAGTTATTATGATTAGTCTTATGAGTTTTGCAATTTTTATTGATTTTATAATTCTTGTGATAATAAGTTAACTTTTAATGCTGCTGTTAAAATTTGATTATTTGGAATGATAATGTTAATAATGTTCATTTATCTTAATATGATACAGATTTTTTAGACATTATTATAAGATTAATTAATTGAATAGCAATTTATTAGATTTTAATTGTTAAGAAAGTAATTTATTAGATAGCAAAATAATAATTATAAGAAAGTATATTGATTAAAGCATAGTAAATCATGTGATATAATACAGTAAATATTTGTTAGAAAAATATGTTTAGAATAGACAAATGATATAATTAGTTAAATATTTATAATTAACTAAATTTAAAATATAAGAAGACAGAATATGAAAGAAATCAGAATATAGAAATAGAAAATAGAAAGAAAAAATAGAAATACAGACAAAATAATAGAAATATAAGCAGAAATAAAATAGAAATCTGATAGGAAAGACTAAAATAATTAGTTTATTATTATTAGAATGATTAGTTTATTATCATGTAAAACTTTATAAATATTCAAGAAATTCAAGGTAGTTTTAAAATAATAATTAATCAACAATTGATCTACAGTTAACAGTTTTATAGTAACACAAATAAGAATCTTCATATTAATTTATTTCTTTAATAAAGATATCTTTATATTAAACAATTATTATTTGTATATCTTAAGGAATTAACAGTTTAAAAATAGGTTTAATAGATTGAAAGAAGTAATATGATTCACTTTAATTTTAAGTAAGCTTATTGACTTGTATTTTGTCTTTGAGATCATTATGCGTATTTTATGTTAAATAAACTAAGCAGTAGTAATATATTTTCTAGATTATATAGCAAGTTATCTTACTTAAGCTATATATAAGACTATTAAACTATGAGTTATTCTTATTCTAGGAAAGAATTATAAAGTAAAGGTTTGTACAGTTTTTGCGAAATAATTAAAATTATGAATATATTCTCTAATTATAAAATATGTTTTTCTAGTTTTTTCTGATGTGTCAGAGTTAGTGATTAGAAGTTTGTAAGTTATAAAACCTATTAATATTACTATTATAGATCTTATTATTTAGTTAATCACATTAGTTTTATTAGTGAAGTATGAATTATTTAAGTTGTATTTTAATTCTAACCAATAATCTTTTAGTTCTCTTTCTTCTAAACTTTCTTTTACAAAAAATTCTAAAATAAAAATATTATTTAGAATTTTAATTTTTTATATAATAATACTTAAAACTATAACATTTAATTCTATAATAAAAAAATTATTATAATTGAAAATTACAGGTTTAATTAAGGTAACATTAATTTTTGAAAGAAGAGAGTGAAATTATGAGATAAGTAGAGTATAATGATAAGGAAAAATAAGAGAAGATAATTTTTTTTATGTTATAATAATTCTAATAAGCTATAAATTTACCTTTTAGATAAATTATATTATCAGTTTTATAATACTTAATTAATGATTTAGTGATTAAGTTAATTAAAAAAATGCTTTAACTCAAAGAAATGTGATTTTATTTGATTCTTCTTCATTAAGTCTGATAATACCAGTAATTTCTTTTATATTATATTTATTTATTTGTCTTTCCAAAGAATTGTAAATATAATAAATAGTTATATTTTTAGATAACATAGTAAAGATTTTTTTTTATGAGTAATAATGATTTTCTTTTTTTACTTTAAAAAAAAGTAAAGATAGGGAAAATATAACTTATATTTTTATTTTATTAAATGAATCATATAATTGAATATATAAAAAATCAATAAAAAACTCATTGAAAAAATTCTTTTTCTTCACATTTTGAAGTTATAATTAAAAAAAAAATATTTGAGATTATGAAGATTATTTTTTTTACTTTAAAAAAAAGGATGAGAAATCATTAAATCTTTCTTGAAATTTATTAAAAAAAAATGAAATTTTAAATCTTCAAGTAAAAAGATTGTATTTGAAATTTTTAAAATTTTTTCATATGAATAAAATATTTTTATTTTTCTAAGCTAAAAAATTGTGATGTGTTCCTTTAGAAGAAAATTTAAAATATAAGATCAAAAAGAAGTGATTAAAAGGTTAGATTAATAAGATTTAATCATTTATATTAAAATAATTAAAAATAATATTTAAAAGAAAAGGATCTGCTAAGGTGAAAGGTGAGTTTATTAGATCTTAGATATTAAAATAATTGATAAGTAATTAATTAGGAATAATAGGAAGAAGTTTACTTGAAAAACTAGAAAAAAAATTACAGGTATTTTTCTTCTTAAAATAGTAGAATAGATCTCACTAAAAAGAGTATTTATTATAAGTATTTTAAAGATCTTTATTCATAAAATTTCATAGGATTTCATAGGATAGAATAAAAAAAAAATGTATGATTTAAGGATCTCTCTTTTTTAGGAATCATATGTACTAAAAAAATTAAAAAAATATGCCTAGTATTTTATTTTCTTTGATAATTTGATTTTGTAAAGTTTTGTAAATGTCTAATTATATTACTTGTTAAGCTAGGCCAAATATAATAAGTTGCTTACAGATATTTTTTTTATTTTCAGAAATTGTATAAATTTTAAAAATTGCTTAATAAAACTAGTTTGATTTGCAAAATTTTTAAACATTTTAAAAATTGTTTAACTTATAAATTATTGATATATTAATTACATATCAAAAAAATTTTAAACAAAAACTTTTACAAAATAAAACTTATACTTTTTATAATAAAAAAAAAGTTTGTATAAATCTTAAATAATTGATCAGCTGAAATATCAACTAATCAATCTGAGTGTGTATACATATTAATATAGTTTTATGAAATTTACTATTGATTAATTTTTCATAACCTTCAGAAGTTTTCTAATAAATTGATGCATTTTCACATTTCTATAACTTAGAATTCTTTAATCTTATTTTCTGAATTCTGTAAAAATATATTCCAAATAAGTGTGATAATTTTCTTTTTTTCCAAAAAAGGTTTATAATTTGAAGATTATAAAGAGCTATTTTAAGAATTATTATTCACTTATAAAAAACTTTATGATGAGTATTTTTAAAAAATATGATATTCCGTTTATTCTTAAGTTCTATTTAAAATTTTAATATTATTCAAATATACTAAAGAAAAAGTTATCAAATTTTAAAATTTTCAGATTTTTTAATAGAAAATGCCTTCAATATCAAAATATATCCGCAATCTGAAAAAGTATGTAAAATACAAGCCCAAAAATTAGAATGGACTGAAAAAAATACATTCTCAAAAATATAATTCAAAAAAAAAAATTTGGTGAGGTCTATACTCCACGTTTCTTTAAGTAGATGTTATTTATTTTGTAATATTAGTTATTTAAATACTGTAAATAAAAATTTTTAATATTAGAAATTAGAATTTCCATAATTCTGCTAAATATCCTATGTAAATTCTTAACAAATTCTCTGAATACACAGTGAAAAAAAATATTAAAATAAAATCTGTATTGTAAAATAAATTACAGGGACTATATATAGTTTTGATTTCATTAGTTCATCTTCCACAGGGATATTATGAAAGGAATTATTATAAGTTATTTGGCTACTAAAAGAGGATTGAGTATTCTTTCTTGCGATATATATATAATACCTGTTTTTTCCCTTAACATACATGTGAAATTTTAAACATTATATGCTTTATTTTCTCGTAGCAATATTAAGAAAATATTTAAAGACAAAATAAATAATTTTATTTTGCTAAATAATTGTGAGAACTTTAGATTTATTTATGCATTTTCTAACAAATAATTGACATAAAATTAGTTAAATAGATAAGACTGATATATAATTATCATAAAATATTATGTATTGAACTTGAACATTAATTATATGACGAAGAATAAAAATTTTTACATAAAGCTTGAATTATATACAACTTGTGAAAGATGAATATAAAATATTTCTTTTCTATAAAACAAATGTTATCATTAAAGTTTATGTTTATTATATTGATCTAATCAATATAAGATTTCTCTTTACATTTATAAAAAAAATAAGTAATGAAAGAAATAAAATAAAAGAATATCAACGATTAAATTTCACGTACAACATTATATTGTTAGAAAATTTTACTATAATTATAGTAATTAATATTTAATTTTTTTTGTAAAATTTGCATTTATGATTATAATATATTATTTGAGGAAGTATTTACTTGAGATCAGTTATAACCATAAATGCATTCTTCAAAAATTTCAAATTATTGTCATTTTTGATATTTCTGTTTTACAAGATAAAGAAATAAATCAAACAGTGATAAATAATAGTTTATTTGGATAATATATATAAACAAAAGATATATTTTAACTTTATACGGTCAGAGATTTAAGTTTTAATTATCTTTATAATTTCAATAAATGTATGAGATTTTCTCTTTATCATTATACAATATAAGAAATACAATATAAAAAATAGGAAAGAATAAAATACAAAAAGTATCAATGATAAATAATAATAATTTTCACGTATATGATGTCATTAGAAAATTTTTACTATAGTTATTATAATTACTATTTAATTTTAGTAAAAGTTTTGATGTTGAAACTGCATTTGTGAGTTATTTATAAGATTATTCGTATAAGCAGTATTATTTAAATCTTGTATGTTAAAGTTTTCAAAATCAGGTATAACAAGAATTTTAAAACTAGAAATGTGAAATCTGAAGATTTCTAGATGATTTGATTAAAGATTAAAAGAGCATGGCAGACATTTATATGATTAATCAATTTTTATGTTGATTATTTCCTAATTATCATTAAAATAATTGATTTTGATTGGTTAAATTTTATTATTAAAATAATATAATATTAATATTGCATTATTTTATAAAAATTATTAATTTTTCATAAATATTTTAAGAGCTATTTTAAATTGTTCTGTAACTTGAGAATCAAATAATGTTTGCTTTGATAAATCTTCAGGTTTATCATTTTCTATTAATTGAATTTCATCTTCTTGATCAATTTCAACTTTTAAAATTTTCTTCAGTAATTCTAGAAATAATAGATTTTACATTATTATTAATTTTATTTTTAATATATTTTAAACAATATAAACATTTATACTCAAAATATTGTAAATAATATTGATGATAAATATGATCACATGGAAGAAAAATAAATTTCATTAAGATATAAGAAGTAAAATCATTAGATGCTAATTGTAATATTTTATAAGAACTTTATAGATAACACTTTTCTAATAAATTAAATGGTAGATATTCTGAACTAAAAGTCATTGATAAATATGATTCATCTATATTCATATTAAGAGTTGCAAGATGACATGAAAGCTTATTTTTTCCATGTTGATTAATTTTTATCTATTTACTTTTTCTAATATTATTATTAACCTTTGTAAAAAATTTTAAAAGAAAAATAGATGTTTTATTAGTTAAACCTATTAAATCTTTTTTACAATAAAGATATTTTTTTGTTACAATATATGCATTTTGAAATACATTATTATGACAAAAATAATTGATAACATAAGCTGTTTTTGATAATTATTCATATGTATCTGTTTCTCTTGTTTGTCTTTAAATTAATAAATGATAATTTTTTACAGAATAATCATTAAACGTGACAGATGTTTTTTTAAAATATCAAAAATAGAATGATTAATACTTTTCCAATACCAAACATTTAAAAGAAAAAATAATAATGCTTTATTATAATTTTTTTGTTTAAATTGAGTAAATAAATACCATATCCTTACACAAGCTTCATATATGTTTCTCAATTATCAGATCTAAAAATTGTTATATAAATATTTAAAACTAGAAATAGTATCATCTAAAAGGATTTTTAATATAAGATATTCTACATTTCTAAAATAAATTAGCTCAATTTTTTCTTTAACATATGAAGTAACATTTTCCTAAACATCTGATATTAATTATAATAAAATATAGATTCTTCAAGGATGAGATTTATTAGCAAGCTTTTTTTTTGTTTTAAAAATATATTTGTATGCAGAACTAAAAAAATCAAAAAATAATAAAATAACAGTTTTACGATTGTTTAGAAATACATATAAAGGTCTTATGATTAGAATAAAAGAACTAATACACTCTGAAATTTCTATCTGATTATTCTTTTTTTATTGTTGTTATCTTTATTGTATAGTAATTGCTTTTCAAAGATATATTTGACCTGATCAATCAGCAATTAATGGAATAACCTTATGCTTAAGATAATCACAAAATTCAGAAAAGGATGCAAATATTTTTATAGCATTAATATATGCTTCTATTAAATGCAAATCAAGCTTAATAAAATTAATTAATATAGTATCACTAAGTTATTGATCTTTTCATTTTTCATAAATATCTGTATCATAATAATGAACTGTTAGATTGTTAAATAAATTCTCTTCAGAAAGAGTAAATTGTTTAACAAATTGATTATTAAAAGATTGAAAGAGAAAAGTCATATAATGATTCTCTATTTGAGAAATTAAAATTGGCATTAATAAATAATGAATTATGTATATACAGAGGGTCACCAAAAGTCTCTAAATGTTTTTTGGCTCAATAAATCATTTAAAATTTTAAATTTAACTAGAAGATTCGATTATTTATATGCGGCAACTTTTGTCACTGCCAGATATTATTGGTTAGGTTCTATATGTATGGTTATTTATTGTAATACAGAATTTTATTGGATGTAATATATTTTAATTGTAAAATTTGAAAATAATTTTTTTTTTGTTCGATGTGTGATTATGTCTTTTAATTTATAGGCGATTTATGTTTGGGTTGGTTGTAATGATCTTGATAGTGGTAATGGTTTAGATGCTTTTGATTCTAGTCTTTCGTATTCTTTGATCATTGATTTGTCGACGGTAAATGCTTCTCTAGTTAATAATCTTATTTTGATGTTATTCCAGTTGTTGTATTTACTTAGTGCTACATAGGCTTGATCTTTTTTGAACATCTGAGAGTCTAAGTTTAGTAATACGTTTGGTAGTGTCATTCCTTGAACTTTATGGACTGTGAGGGCAAATGCATTTATTAATGGATATTGGGTTCTACTTGTGGGAGCTCCATTGATCATGAAGTTTGAGATGTGTTTTCTAATTGCTATATCAACTATTGCTCCTTAGACACAAAATGCACATCTTATTTCTTGTGTTTCAATGTTTACGTCAGTTATGATAATGATCGTTCTATTACATATCTTGTGTTTGAATTCTGTGTTATTTAGGAACATTATTCTTGCGCCTATTTGTAATTGTAAAATTTTTGGTAGATTTGTTTTTTGTTTAATTATTTTATGAAAGTATTTGTTATTCTCTATTTTTCCATTTATGATGTCTATGAAACTTAATATGAGTTGAGGGAGGTTCAGTGATCAGGTATATTACTTGTGTTGATGAGTTGCATATTTTTTCACTAAGCAATAGGAACATTAATTCCATGGAACCTAGTCTTCTTGCATGAATATATTTTAATATAGATTTCCTTCGCTGATGTTGAATAAGTGGGAGGTTCAGCTTTTACAATGTATTTGGTAATATATTGTGCTAAGCTTCTGTCTGTTATGTATTGAATGTTCATATGGACTTTCCATATTAATAGTGTGGATGCGTAATAAGATACAACCCATCTATCCAATTGGTTAATACAATAATATATATAACGGAAAGATTCATTATCGTAATATGTGCATAGAGAATATGGTCTCAGAAATTCTTTCTTATATCTTTCTCCAGAAGGAGCTGGTCCGCCACATTTTCATTGCAAGTGTGAATCTGATAGTTTATTACTAGTTGGTATAGTTCAGGTTCAAGATTTAGATCTGAAACATCTGATCTAATAACATTATCATCTATCATTTCTTTGATTGATTTTGAGATCCAATAGACTCTGTGGGTATGGACTGCTCCTATATTCTAAAATTCGATTCTTTCAAAAAAATGATGATAAGTTCTCCACCCGCTTAGGATAGGATCTTTTCAAATTAACTTTTTAAGAGATCGCAATCTATGAATAAAATGTAGTATGGTGTGTAAGGTCAGTTTGTCAGTATTGTATTATAGTTGTCAGTTTTATTTAATATATCATGAAGATGGATCTATGATCCTTTGGCCATAGATAGGGTTATGAATAATGTAGGTAATTAGAATCCTGTTATCATGCTATTTAGATGCATAGTTTTTCTTTGGAAATATGTATCGTCCATTCTGATAAATGTAGGTAGTAGGGTGGTTTTTTCTTCATTGTATTTATATCTTTCGGTATAAGAGCTTCGTTCAATAATTTCAATAGCAGTAGGAGGGCGATAAGTGATATTGGCATTATATTGTCATAATAGGCGTTGGTTATTTTGATGATTTCATAATTTTTCAAGCTGTAAGTATAACCACGCTGGTCAATAATGATGTAGCCTAAATCGGTGATCTATGTTTAGTAATTTATGTTTAATATATTTGCCATAGGTATCTATTCTTGATTGTCAGGTGATTGAATTAATTATCATTTCTCAATAATGTCCATGACCATTTGAAAATAAATTGGAAAATAATAAGGCTTTAAGGTTTGGATCATTTATCGATATTGGCATAGAGTTTGTCTCATTATTCTGATGGAATCCTGCTATCAATCTTGTATAATATGCATTTTCATCATGGATTTCATTTGGAAAATTTTGATAAGGGATAACTATTTCGCCAGGTCTAAATGGTGGGGCTTCATCATCATCAATAATATGTGTTGCAGTTGGAAAAGTTGAAATATTATCATTATTTAAAAGTGAGTTTGCATAATTTAAAATATGAGGGTTATTATTTCGTAACCAATTAATACCATTTATAAGTGATATATTGAACCAATTATGCCATTGGTCATTAGGGTTTAATCTATAGTCTTCTAAAAAAGCGCCTAACATTCTAAAATATAATACTAATGATCTGTAATTTTTAGAATATCCTATAGTACCAACAAAGGATCGATATGTTGTATAATTGTTTATGTCATGAGTTCTTCCTAAAGATGAATATAAGTATATTGAAGATAAATATTTTCTTTTCCATAAGATATTAATTCAATTTCTAGGGGTACAGGATGCAAATACGGAGGGTAGTTTCTTGATGGATTTTTATAACACGCATCGCAAATAGATATCCTATTATTAGGAGGATTAGGATTAAAAATAAGGGATAAATTTGGATAATTTCTAATTAATGGATAAGTAAAATTATCATTTTTACTGATTCATTTTGATTTTTCAGAATATATCATCCGTCCACAATATGAATATGGTAAGCATGAATATTGAGCAAGAATATAAAACTCAAATTTGTTTTTTAGCATTATAAATTTTTGCGATGAAATCCAAGGAAGAAATATATGAAGTAATTGAATAGTTTGTAAATATAAATCTGATTGTGAATTGGATCGATTTTTAATATTATTAATAGATGATATATCAATTATAGTTTCATTCTCTTGTAGTTGATTTACTTCTAGAATTTGAAATACGTGAGAAGTCATTTTTTTTTTGAGGAATTTCGATAAGATAAAAATGCATTTCATATTTATTTATAATTGTGATTTTTTTTATTTTTAATTATTAATAATTATATAATAATGATTTAAAAATGATTAATTAAATAATTACGATAAAATTGACTAAAATAATAAAAGTTAACAGTTAAACACGAAAATAATATATTATTTATTTATTTATTTCTTTATTTTATCTAATGTAAATAAATAAAAATAAATCAATAATTATAAATCAGACGTTAGAATTTTTTAATATATTTAATTTAAAAAAATTTATTTTTATTATAAATTAAAAAAAACAATGAATAAAGTAAGAAAAATATGATAAATGTAAAAAAAATTCATTAATTAATATTAATTATTCATTTTTTTCTTCAGATTGAGTTGATTGAATTTCATATTGAGGGTTTATATTTATATTTAAAGAAGATAATGATAAGGAAGCAAGTTTTAGAGTTTTATCAATTCCTGATAAAGTTGATGATGCTTTGCGTTTTCCTTTTTATTTAGGTTTATTTGCATTTATTAAAATAAATTTAGCTATATTAGTAGCTAATGGAACTGATGATGATGACTGCTCAATTACTTGTTTTTTTTTTCAAGCATAATTTGAAGCTTTATAAGATAAGGATAAAGAGACTGAATCTATAAAATTAACTTGTGTAATTTTAATAAGTAAAAGGTTTTCAATAAATGATAGATAACCAGTAATATATAATAAAGAACACGTGAAACTTTTGTAGAGATTGGTAATAAATGAGTTTCTTCTGGATATTGATATAAATTAAATAAAAGAGGATTGTTAAGTTGATCATTAATATATTCTTTGATGGTTAAGTTAAAAACAATTTTATCGTCACCAATATCTGGATTATTTGATATTATATCAATTAATGTAATGAATAATGAAGATTTTGGAAGATCTTCATCATCAAGATTAAGCATGTATATTAAAGATGGTCACTATAATTAAAAAAAATGGCACAATTGAGTTGCAACTTGTGACGCAATTAAATTTCCTTATAGCGCAATTAAGTTGCAACTCAATTAAAATTTGAAAATAATTATGGGGATCATCTTTAGTTATATATTTTATTATCAAAAAAGAAACTTATTAAATTATTTTATATATATATATATTTAAATTAAAAGTATTATAGATAATACCTAACTATTAGTTTTCATACTCTAATAATATTAAAGATAATTCTACTAATATATTTATATTTATAATTTTAACTCTAATTTTAATGTAATACCAATATTTTTTTGCTATTATATTTCAAATGTTTCTTTATATAAAATTTAAATGTAATTAACTTTTCAAATATATCAAAATAAGTAATTCCTTCTTTAATGAATTTTTTGTTAGATTTGATGAATCAGATAGTATTAAAAAATTTATACAATTTAAAAGTATATTTGAAAATAAATAGATTATTATAAATTTGTTAGTTTTTTTAATTTTTTTTAATTTTTTTTTTAAAAAAAACTAAGTTATTAATTTTACTTTATTAAATAATTACAATTCTTGTTTTTTTCTTTTATGTATTTTTTACTTAAAATGCAAATTATGTGATTATAAAATTATAATTTACGAATTATTATATATAACTTACTTTAATATATATAATATTACAGATTCAGAGAATTAATTATGAATATAAATTTTTCTTTATTTATAATATTTATAATAATTAATAATGTATAGGTATAAATTAAAAATTGCTTATAACTAAAATTATTATTTTAAATGCAATGTATTATATAAATCTACATATAATTTGTAATTATGTTTTCAATTAAAACAGATTCTATTTTTTAGTTATTTATAATTTTATATATAATTGATTAAAAAGTATAATTAAAAATCCTTACTAAAAGATATTAAAATAATTTAATTACATATTTATATAATTTATTTATAATTATAAATATTCAAAAATATAATTAGATTATTTTAATAAAAAAATTATAAAAAAAAAAATAATATCAATATTCTTATATTTAACTGTTATAAATTTATAATAATTATTTTTATGTTTTTTATTTTTATTTTTATTAATATGTATACTATTCTTATTATCCTTTTTTTTTACCTTAAAATTATATAAAAAATTGATATTAAAACCATTCTTAATATATTATATATATGATAATCTTTTTATTTATATATTTTATTTAAAAGTTTAAAAATCTAAAGATATAAGAATTTTATTTAAAAATACTTTTATTTGTAAAACAAATAACATTCAAATCATCAAAGCTTTTGTTATTTTTAACATTTATAATAGGAAAAAAAGATTACTTAATTACCTAAAAATGAATGAATAAAGAAAGGCTAATTTTAGTCATCAATTTGAGATTCTTATAAACGAATTAATTCTACTTGAAAAAATTCATTCTAAATATACAAAAATCAATTTTAACCTTATATACATTTTGTAATTTAATTATTAATCTTCCTTTTTTTTTTTTTTTTGAAATACATTAAATTATTAAATTTATTTTTTACATTGTCTTTATTTTCACCTTTTAATCAGTTTTTCAAATTTCTCAGTGTTTATTCCATTTTCTGCTGTTTATATTCCCAATCATCATAAGTTTCTTTATGATCTAACCATCTCTCTTGTACTTCTAATATATCACTAAGAGTTGATGTATTGGTTCCCATTGCTGTCAACATTATACTCTCATTTCCCTCAGTTAATCCACCAAATACATATCCATTTGCCTTATCTATAACTTGAACAAGTTTCATTACTGATTTCTTATCCTAAATTAATTTTTTAAAAAAAGAAAGTTGACTAAATTAAAAAAAAAAAACATAAATAAACATATATGTGAATTATTGATTACCTCAATACAAAGAGTATTAAATCCGACTAGACTAAAATCTTCAATTAGTCCACATAATGCTTTATTTAATTCTTTAAATCTACGAGCAAAAGGATCTTCATCCAAATGTTGTAACAAATATGATAAATCCTGCACTTCAGTATAAAAATCCAAATTAAAAGCTAGTTTGCCATAAGATTCCATTAAATCCACTTTTGATAGTACATTAATATGTGGCAATTCAATTTGTAACATTGTTTTAAGTGAAAGTAATAAAACCGAAATATACTTTGTTGGATCTGTACAATAATGCGCGTCGACTAAATGAATAGTTACGAGCTAAGCAACAAATAAAATTTTACAAGAATTAGCAATAAATTGATTAAAGCGTTTGGCAAAAAAAAACAATAAATGAATGAATAAAAACCCGATAATCCAATTTTTGTAATCGTTCGATGATATTTTTGACTGAATCATGGTGAGTGAAAAGCTCAATTTGTCCGGGGAAATCGAATAATATATAATCATCTAAATAAATCAACCAACCAACAAATAAATATTAATACAATTTTTACAATTCGTAAATATACTACTTAGAGAATCGATTATACCTCCCAAAGCTTTCAATTTTTCTTCAATCCAATCAAAATTCTTTTCTAAAAATTCCATACAATACATCATACCACCATTGGGCCCTAACTTCAATTCTTCCATTGTTTCTTCTAACGTAATTAATTCTGCAATGTTCACTGCACATTGATATGGTAAAAAGTCATTTGCTGGATCTAGATTAACAACTGAAACTTTTCTTTAAATTGAAACTTATAAATAAGGAATGGGAAACAATAAAAAAAAAAGTTTCGTTAAACCAATAAATTATAGGTACCTTCCAGTAGCAGTTAAGAATTGATACATTCCATTACAGTACGTAGTTTTCCCTGATCCAGGAGGTCCAATAACAATCTACAATTATTCATTATTAGAAATTATTTTAAATATAAATGTTGAGTTTACAATGACAATAATATTATTACCTGACCGAAAGGCATCGTAAGGATAAAAAATTTCAACGGATCAAAACAAATAAATTTATATTTAATTTACTCATACTATATTTGGTCGAATCGACAGATCAGCACACTTATAAATCACCAAAATAATATTTCAAATGTTAAAAATGTCATTCGGGGAATTACGAAAAACAACCAAAACAAATTGGTTAAAAGATAATAGAGAGTTATTGAGGAATAATAATGGTCAGGTGCAAACTGATATTCGATTGTCCACTAAATGGCTTGAAAGAAGTAAATGTGAAGATTTAGGTAAGTTTATGTTAATTAAACGTTTTTATTGATAAATCATATTAAACTTTTTTTAAAAACAACAAAAATTTTTAGGAATTAAATATAGGAAAGGAAGATTTACTAAACGGGAAAAGGAAATGTTACAGAATACTTTACAAGAGTACAAAAGAGTACGTCAACAATTAGTGTGTAATAATATAAATTTACGATTAATATTTTAGTTTTAAATATTTAGAGACATAATCTTAATGATGATCAATTACAAAAACTTATGCATTATAGAAATGACAAAGAACATTCGTCTTTCTGGGCAGAAATAGGTATCTACATTATTAAATGATCTTACTCTTAGTTATTTGATAATGGTTGATAAAAGTACTGAAAATGTACTTCATAAAAGCTACTCCGTTAGGCTTCCGTTCTTTGAAATCTGTTGCACATCACATACAGCGAAATTTTCATGAATTCAATCATAATGGTTCATGGAGTAAAGAAGAAGATGAACAGTTAAAACAGTAAATGTTAATATAATAATTATATAGTACATTCATTTGATTATTAATTAATATAATTAATTAAATCAAATCAGACTTATTCAATTGTACGGGCGAGATTGGACAACAATAGGAGAACAATTGAAACGTATGCCAGAAGGATGTAAAGAACGATACGTTGTTTGCCTCCAACATCAAGACAAGCACAATAAAGGTTTGGTATTCAACTGTATCATATTATCATTACATTACTCGATTATTCTAAACCATACTATATATATTTAGGAAAATGGACAAAGGAAGAAGAAGAACAATTAACAAAAGTAGTCGTTAATATTACCAAAGAATGTGACGCAAACATTTCTTTAGATTGGGGAATTCCATGGCAATTAGTCGCTGAAGCAATGGAAAATAAAAGAACAGCATTATCTTGTCGAAGTAAATGGGTTAGAGATTTGAGGCTTAAGTATGAAATTGGGGAGGATCGAAGCGCTAGATGGACTAGCTATGACAGTTATATGCTTTGTAAAAAGTATGAAATTTATAATTTAAATTTTAAACCTCTTTAAAATTTGTAATATTAAAAACTTTTTTTTTTAATTAAAAATAAAAGATTAGAAAAATTGAATGAGACAGATGAATATTTGATAGAATGGGATAAGCTAGCAGATGAGGAATGGGAGCTTTGGTAATTATTCATAGATTAAGCATTTATTATTGTATGTATATGATGCTTATCCTTTTACTTAATATTAATATCTATATCAGGCCTCGTGAGTTATTGTGTGAGCATTGGCGTCATTTAAAATACACTGTAAATGGGTTTAGAGAGAAAGACTTTCAAGGTAAGTTCACCTGTTTATTTATAGAATTCAAAGTTTGTCCAAACGCGCCAACAAATTTTCTTTTTTTTTTTTTAATATATTTCAACAGAAATTCTTTATGAATTATTAAATAGGTATAATGATAATATACCTGAAAAACCAAACCGACCAAAGTCAGCTCCAACTATCAATTCTGAAGATGACACAATTAGTGATTTTGACGAAAATGTAGATAACAATTCATTAGTTACATCAGATAACACTTCATCAGACTATTCTGATTCAGAACATATGGATATCGACGTTGTTAATCTTCCAATTAAGAAGATTGCTTCTAAAAATAAAAATAAAAAAAACAATCAAGTGAATAGCACTTCCGGAAGTTCATCATCCGAATCTGAATCAGATTCTAGTTCGAGCGATAGTAGTAGTGATAATGAAGAAACCGGTTCCGAGAATGACAATTCCGTTGGAAAAAGAGTAGTTCCTTTACAAAATATGAACACATCGATCGATTCGGATTCAGATGGTGATACTAGGAAAAGTTCAAGTGAATCATCTTCGGATGATGAAAGTTCAGGAAATGATAGTAGTGAAGAAAGTTCATCTGATGATGAAGAGGAATTGACTAGGAAAGAAATATTTTCGGTTGAACGAACCATATCAAATGATATGTGTTCATCTAATGAAGTTTCAGAACAAAGTAGCGATGGTGAGCATAGTTCGCCTTATATATAATAATGGAAACTTCTGATATCATTAATACAAGTGATAGCAATGACATACTGATGATGATGGGATGGGATATTTTTAATTATCATCAAATTTCTTTCCACTTGTTTAATCAATGGTTCTAATATCTAAGGTCAAATGTTCAATAGACAAATATCAACACTTTATCATGATCTCTATTAAAAATTCAGTAAAATCTAGTTGTGTATAAGGAAGCATTGTATGCTTCATCAAAATCAAAGATAAACCATATTTCCTTATCAATATACTTTATTAAATTTACCCGGCGAATGCACGTGCTCACTTCCTTAACTTACGTAATCAAAACACTTCCACGTGAAAACGCGTACATCCACGTGACTTCTTATATTTTAATTTAAGTGTCGCGAAAA